TAAACAATCAGAAGAAGCTCAATGACATAAAAGCATTGTTCAGTAGTCCGTCCTAGTAAATACGGACTCCGGAAGCTGCATCAGTAGACAGAAAAAACGCGCCGACGGAAAAAAAGCTACTTGAAGTATCAGACCCGTACATTTCAGTGGTGCCAAAAGTGAAGAAAACTCTCTTCGTAGTCCCTCGTCGCTCCTCTTCCCCTCTTCCCTCCCAGGTGCTTCAAGTTGGGTTTTCCCCCCTCCCCTTCCCGCCCCGATAACCCAGGAATTTTTGATCAAAATACCTCTATATCATCATCGCTTGGCAACGACTCCAATTTTTGCTTCAGACCGCGGCGACGCGCTTCCTTGCGAAGCTTGGCACGTAGCGATTCTTCACTCGGTGATCTCGTATGCTTTTCCCTCCCAAGCAACAGCACTTTCTTCTGTAAGAGGACGTTAAAATAGGCAAAACACTGGCCAGAGAAGAGTCGCTCCTGATTAAGAGCTAACTGTGTTTAATCCTTCCGCCTCGCTGTTTTTTCATCGCTGTACATTCCTACTTCTGATGTATTTTTCCGTTTTTGGAGAAACTGCATCAGTGCACTCAGTGATTTGTTATTTCAAATTAGTTCACATTTTCATCCATGACACAAAAGCATTACAAAAAAATGCAAAAAAATTACCTTTCCGGCAGCTTTCAAACCACTGATTTCCGCGGGTTGTAATTCCAAACATTCCACTACACTACTCATTGCTGCTACCATTTGCGTTTCCGCTCCATCCAACAAAATATAGCAATATTCAATTGTTTTCTACAATTATGATCGCTCATGCCGATTTGTTGATAAATTTCATCCAGTCCCTGAAGATTGAGGACAAATTTCGCGCCTATAACAGACTTTCCAAAGCTTTTTTTTTGAAAACTGCGCTTAAACATAGCAAAAAATATATCGTAACAGTACATGATTATTCTCAAGCTATCAGAAAGCTATCATAATAATACATGAATATTCTCAAGATGTACCGTAATAATACATGAATGTGTCCGTTTTTCAGTCCAAGGAATGCATCATAATCTTGAATCGAAAGTCAAATTCCCCATGCCTCCCTCTCCCTTCCCCCCCGCGCAACAAAAAAAAACTCATTCACTACAGGAGGTAGAGCAGCTTCTCAGAATCTGAAATGATAACAAGCGAGAGTAGCAATCATTCACCATGCTAGACTGCCGATAGGACGGATCTCTCTTTCAAAAATGCTTACAAGCAAGCTGATGACGATTTCAGTTCCCTAACTTACGTTAGTATCAATTTTAAAAATAATAACAAGCATCAGATATATACAAATGCACACACACACACACATACACACACATACACATACACACACAGACACCCCCTGTGTCAATATGCGCTTTTCGAGCAGTTGTTGCACAGCACAAAACGCATAAAAACAGTCTGGTTGCCTCCCTACTGGGAATTAAACTCAGTTTTTAGCACTAAATGGCACTAGCCGTCACTGCGTCATGCCAGCTAACCATTACAACAGTAAGAATAGAAGCCTAAACTGATCCAGAAACGAAAATTTATGTCGCCTGAAATTTTATTGAATTCTGATATGCAAAACATAACAAAGGAAAATGTGATGCTATATATACAAAACATACAAAAACACTCTGGAAAATTGGAACCAACTGAGAAAGGAAAAAAATGAACCGGTGAAGAAAAATGAACCATCAAAAATTATTCAAAAAACCTTCACTGTATGAATGAGGCACTCGAGAAGTTATCTGAACGGTAGCAGCAGCTCCTGCTGGCCAGACTACCGACGGTCCCCTTTTTGGAGAGTTTCTTGGAAGGAAGCTGATGATGGGTTAACTTCTTTGCATGAGTCAGTATAAATTTATGACCCAAGTGGCTGCATATGATTGATATATATATATATGTACATATACATATATATATATATATATATATATATATATCGCAAAGAGCGAATAAGGAAATGGTTTTCTGATTTTCAACTTGACGTTCTTGCTTTCTGTATTCTATCGCTCCTTTGCCAGTTCGGTTTCCAGGGTCAATCTGGTTACTACAATCGGCTTAATGTATGAATTGGGGATATGAGGTGTACAAAAAACAGAAGCCGAAGAAGCAAAAAAGTTTGGAGATCATTGTCCATGCATTAAAAAAAGCGTAGAATAAACTGATGAAAACAATTATTACAATTATTTACAAAATATCTTAAAACTGACGGAAAAAATATACAGCGGCAAATTTAGCACAAGTAGAACTGCTGTACAATGTATAAAAAAAAATACTGCTTTCGTAAGACAAATGAAGCATTCTGCTAAACTCATAATTCGCTAAAATTAGTAATTTTTCATGTAGACGATCGAATTTCGTTACATCCGTAAATGTCTGGGCCAAGCGCCCAACTGCTTGCCCAGCTTACAAAAAATCCCGGCTTTCTGCTGAGTAAAAAAGGCGAAAAAATGAAGAATACATGGATTGAGGTACAAAATAAAAAGCTAAAAAAATGTTATGAAATATAAAAGAAACACACTGAGCAGCATGGCTTGTAATAAACCAACTTCAGCTGCCGTCAGATGCCAATCTCATCGGCTCTTATAAATCTACCACTCTCAGGTAATTTGCTGTTATCCATTCGCATGCTAAAAAAAATTTATTTGCAAGATTCAAATTTTACTGCACAAAATCAATTAAAATTCCCCTCTATTCTGCCCTCAAAAAATCACGGGTGGGGAAAACACTGATTTACGAACCCTTAACAAAATTATAGATTAAATTATATTAATAGTCGAAAAAAATATTCCTTCATATTATTCATAGAAAAATACATTTTCCATATTATTATTTCACTTCATGAATTAAAATAAATTATTAAATAAGAGCAAATCTGAAACAAATTTACACACTCCCCACAACTACGACTATAACGTCACTCATAAGAACCGTGGAAGGGTTAATAAATAGCAACGCGCACCAGACTAGCCGATGCGATCATGCGTTTTGTGCAATTCAGTCCATCGAACGATTGCTTATTAATGATTTTCACTGCTTTGTACTTTATGTAAAAGAAGTTCAAACATTGGAAAATAATTAAAAATTTCACGCACCAGCGCATGAAAGCTCAATTCCAAACCTTGAAGGGTGAATATCTTTATCCCGAGATAATAATTTACTCGTAAGAACTTTTAATGGCCCGTAGGTAATACCCGAGAGCGCGGGAACGCTGAATTCGAATGGGCAAGGTCGAGCGTGGGCAAGGGGTCATAACCCTAAAATTTCAGTCTCCTAGACTCTGTGGTTCCCGAGACATTAATTTACCCGTAAAAAACTTTCACGGGGCCGAACGCGTTACCCGTGGGTACGGGGAAGCTGAACTTAAATTTGCGGGGTCACATGTGGGTGGAGAACGTTCCCCAAAATTTTCAGCTTCCTAGCTTTTGTGATTCCCGAGTTGAAAGTTGCGGACAAGTTGCTGTGGACACATACACACACACACACACACACACACACA